CACCACAGCATGGCTTGACAAGAGGCATGTTGGTGCACACCCAGGATCCGAACCCGCGAATCCTGGGCCACCGAAGCGGAGCACATGCTCTTAACAGCCGCGCCACCGGGCCAGCCCATGTGTTTGCATCTTTTAATTCTTTTAGAAAGCCTGCAGATTCCCAGGGCTCCACAGACCCCAGTTGGAGATAGTTGATGGTACAGATACTAAGAGACTTGCTGTTAGGGTGCTTTCCTAGAGACGTGGAGACGTGGAGTGTGTGGGGGTAGGAGACAGTTACTTTGCAGAATTGGGAGGGATGGCCTTACAAAGGATGGTGAGATTTGGAAAGTAGGGGGAGGAGACCTGATAAATGGCTCACGCAAAGACGGGCTATGCCGGGGTTGGTTTAGTTGAGTTTTTTTGTATGAAATAGAGAAGATGAGGCATTTTAGAATGAGAGGCAGTTATGGAGGTGGGCTGGGGTAGGTTTTAAGGACTTTGAAGTGATATTGGGGTTTTATTCTAAATATTTTACTTAATATCTTCACAACAACTCCTTATAATATGTACTGGCATTGGCCCCAGTTTACAAACAAGAAAACTGAGATCAAGAGGTTAAATCATCTGCTAAAGCCTACACACATAGTAGAAACGAACTGAGACTCACACCTAGGCAGGTGAGCTCATGAGCCTGCCCCCGTAACTGCTGTGCCACGTAACTGCAGCAGATGGAAGGTTTGTGTCATCCTGGGTAAAGCATATTTTTCGTATAGATATTTTACTCTTTCTAGTGATGGAAAGAGCAGTATAACTTGTGGTGAAGCCTTGCACTGTTCTGCCCTCGGTTCTTCATTCTCCTTACCTGTAGTATGGGGTTAATATCTCTACCTTGGGTTGTTGGGAGTTTGGATTAAAGTATGTAATGTAATGAAAATATTTGGGTATTTAAAATTTTGTGGCACATAGTGTCATAGAAAGTGTTTGCTACTGTTATCATCATCATCATTTGCTGCAGTTTTGGTACCTGAACTTAAGTACATTCAAAGTGTTCCTGTTATCTTTATGTTTAATTAAGCAGAATTCCTAAACTTTTTCACCATAAAATATTAGTGTTTTATAAAATATGAGTAGGACACCAGCCTTCTGTAGACAGAAAAATATCTCTCACAGAGGAGTTAACAGAATTATTTTGTTTTTTAAATATATCAGAATCATAATAAGAAAAAGAATCGCTTATACTGAGAACAGTGTTTATGGATGTTGAAATAAGAACAGACCCACCGTGGGTGTCGCCAGGCCTGGACCACGTGGTGCAGGGGGTCTTACCACTGCATGAAGAAGGGTTTCAGGAGCTTTTGAGGGACTTCTCGTATTGGACTGGTGGGCGTAGGGTTTCTTTCTTTTTCTCTCGTTCTTTTCTTTTTCTTAATTAGAATTTTCAGACGTTTGCGGAAGTAGAGAATAATAAAATGAACCCCAGTGTGCCCATCCTGAACTTGAACAGTTATAACCACTGTCACATTTTGCTACTTTTATTTCATCTTTTCCTCCCCTCTACACACACACGTTAAAAAAATGGTGTGTATTTACTTCTTTATTTGCTGGGGTGTTTTAAGGCAAATCCCAGACAACGTGCCATTCACCATAAACTTTCCCACATGCCACTGTGACGGAGACCAATTCCAGTCGTGCCTAGCACAGTTATTCCTGAACATCCACAGACGTCATTTCCCAAAGGCAGAAAATTAGGTACAACGATAAGCATCTATAAATTTTAAAGAAAAAATTTTTTATTATTGTTTCCTCCTGGGGTATATACATGCTAACTTTGGTTGCCACCATCCCATGAAAGATAATTTAGACAATGCTGAGACACTAGGAAAAGCAGTAGTCTGAGGTTCCTTCTTCTGGCTGGGATAATAATTTCAGGTATTTTTTTATCGAGTTTATGAATCAGAAAAGTAATATGAAAATTTTTGTTGCTGTCCTGAGTCTTTGGAGTCCACGTGCTGTCTGGGTTTTAGTGCGTGGAGTAGGATGGCTGTTAGGCAGGGTCTGTTGTGATTAGGATTTTGGATTTGAGTGGCAGGAACATGTGACTGCTGTGCAAGGGGTTATTTTTGGTGTCTGGGTGTCGGCTTCTTGTCAGAAACCATAGAAAGTTAGTGTGAGATGCACTTGTGGAGGCTCAGGAAACGGCAAGCGTTGTTATGTGAGTTTTTGAACTTTCAAACATGGGTTGTTGCTTCGGCAAAGAATTAAGTAGTGACAATGACAATGAAAAAACTGGCCTGTTACAAAAATCTGTGGAGGAGGAGGAACTGGAGAACAAGATAAGTAAAACTTTATCTTCATTATTTGATACGCTTGAAGGTGGGGAACTTCACGGTGTTGGACGTGGAGCCAGCAGGTCAGCTGCTGGAGCTAATACGTGGACGAGGGTTTTCGAGAGGCCTGGGCACAAGCAAGGTCACAGACCAAGGCAGTTGTTTAACTCTTTTTCCTCTTCGATGTATAAGTTCTTACCTAAGTTTGAAAATTTAGATGAGAGTGACAGGAATTCAGATATTGTTGCTGTTGAGCAGGATTATAAAAATGTCTGTGATACTCTGTGCATGGGCACTGACAGTAAATGGGGTTTGTCTGAAGATGTTTGCTCTGAAGATGGTGAGTCTCTTTCATATGTCCCAGTGCCTTCCTACCAGGGTGTGCGGGAAGGGGCCCTTGTAAATAACCATTTGTGCCATTACCCTATCACTTGTAAAAACTCTGTACTAGAGAAAGAAAGAGCGGTAAATGTTCAACTCAGTAATGATAGTGAGGATAAGTCTTTAGGTATGTCTGGTAGGGAGATGAAGGATGAAAACCTTATTTGTATTGATCACAAACAGTGTAGGAATTCAAGAGAGAGCGAGTTTTACAGTATTTGTGTTGTAGATCCTGACTGCCTGGACATTGAAGACGAGTTGTACACTCGAGTGTGTGGAGCAGCTGCAGAAGAAGAGAGTCATTCAGCTGTCACCTCTGAGGGGACTCGCAGAGGGGCCTGGCCACCAGATAACGCTGCACAAGGGCCAGGGGAGTTAGAGGCACTGCAGAAAGAGCTGTCCCCACAGGGCATGCCAGGTCCAAATGAAATGAAGGAAGTCTTTAATGAGAAATCTAAACCTAGTGCTGAACTTTTGACTGACAATGACCCAGCCTGTAAAGTAAACATTGGTGACATGCAGGCTGAGTCTTTAAGGGCAAACGTTTACTCCAGGCTCCCTAAAGCTTATACAGAAAGTAGTGTATTACCTAATGTTGGCATACTCCCTGAGTTACATATTTACATGGACGCTGACTCACTAGAATGTGTGTGTGCTGTCCCTAAAGAAAGAGAGAGCTGCATTTCAGGACTAGTAAGTCTGGTGGGTGATTCACATGTTAATTCCATTAGTGACACTTCAAATGTGGAAAGAAATGGTGAATCTGGGGCTGTAACAACTAGTGTAGATCAGAATTTAAACTCTGAAAAGGAAGGAGAAAGTAACTCTGTAAAATCACTAAAAGATAATGATTGTTCCAGCCTAGATGTTAGCAGATCAGACAGTAGTCTCCTTTCCATAAATCTAGATAGAGTTAATTTAAGTTCAAAAAGATGTATCACTTCATTGAGCTTTGGAAATGAGTGTGTTCCCATTCATGCTAATGTCCAAGAAGCAGCCCCTAACAGACTTGATGATCCCGGACCTGAATACCTCTTGGTGCCAGTGATCAAGGAGCAGCACCAGGGTGACTGCAGCATGGAAACTGGAAGCATCCAGCTTGCAAACAAAGGAGAATCATTTTTGCAATCGGAAAATAGTTCATCTTATCAATATGAGGATAAAATTAGCATTTTTGAAGATGAGGGTTGTGGTAGGAGGGCTTTTGAATGGAGATCTTCACGTCAGGCACATCTCTGTGCCGATGCTGGGGCCAGCAAGGCCCAGGCACAGATCAGTGATTTAACTTGTGCAGTGCGAGAAACAAACGTGGAGAGAGTATTCCAGAGAATAGACACCCCAGGACTCAGAAATTCACAGGAAGTTCCTCCACATGGCGAATGTCTTGATGGCTCCGGGTGTTTTAAGAGTAACTTTATTTCCTCTGCATTTATTTTCACCTGCACTGAAGAAGAAAGTGAAACAGGCCTGAATTATAAAACAGAAGGTGAAATGTATGTGCAGAGTTCAGGGAGTGACCGTCACAGATTAGAAAATGCTGAAAAAGAATCATTAAAAGCTAATCCCAAAGAGACAAGTAAAAATGACACAGAAAACGTCAAATCAGACTCTGAAACAACCTTTGACTGGGAAACAAATACACTAAAACTCAAGGCAGCACCCAGTCAGGAGGTACTGGCTTGTGTTAGTTCTAGTATAATAAAAATCCCTGATTTTGAAACAAATCAAATAGAAAAAAATGATGAAGCCCATAGAGTGAATGACTACAGATATGAAGATCTTAATCTTGTACCACCTTTAAACCAAAGTTTAAATTCAGGTGTACAGATATCAGAAGTAGAAGAGATTAACTCTGTTAACAGTGGTGGAAATCCGGAACTGAAACAGGGTTTCTCTGAATCAGCTGAAGAAGTTTCTGATGCCTTTGGTAGTGGTGTGTCAGGAGTGAGTGAACCAACACTAACAGGTGAAGAAGAAGAAGAGAGACTTTGTTTGGAGAAAGACGGCAGAGATCGCAGCATCATGGACTGTGTGGGACCATGTGGGACAAGCAGACCTGCACACCACTTCTCACAAAGAAATGCCAGGCCCACCCTTAATGGGCCTACGTTAAACGGTGAAGTGGATTTTATGGAAAGTTCAAAGGTGATTTTTGGAAAAATGGCGTTATATGACGCTCTTGAGGGGTATCCCTGCTTGGCTGGTGTTGATCCTGCCCAAGTGGACAGGTACACAGCTGCTCCTCACAATATGCTGCAGGTAATTCCTGTCATCCCAGGTGACAGCAAAGAAATAGTGGAACCAAGTAGTGAGGACCATGCTTTATCACTCACAGAAGATACTGTCAATGTATCTGAAAACCCCTCAAAAGGGGATTTGCAGAGCTTTCCAGAGAAATTGTACTCCCAGTTTTTGAGTGAACTTTCCTGTTACCCGATGGGAGGGTTGGCGAGTCAGATCTTTTCTGAAGGACTGGCAGGTGGTTGTGGCTATCAAGGGGGCTGTCTGTGGACGGATGCTGTTGCGAAAGATGTGGTAGAAGATGAGCAGATACTCAGTGACAACCTGCACAGTGAGCCACAGGACTTAGAGATCGCCTTGTTTTGGATGGAAAAGCCCCCTTATCAGCTACCAGTGGCAGAAGATGGTGTTATTTGGGGATGGCAAAACAGAGGTGGACAGTTAGTAAGTATGTTTTATCAGTTTTTATTATTGTGCTGTGATATGCTTATCTTTCATTTTGATTGCTTTTAACTTAAAATCAACAAAGATTTATTCTAAACAATTGGCCGTCATTTGAATGTTTATATAAGGCTTTGAGTTATTATGGCATCGATTTAACCATTTCCAAATTGGAGAATATGAATTCAATTCACTGTTTGGTATATGTAAGCCAGAATTTATGTGTCAACTTCTGTTAGCCCCAAACGCTGCACTGCTGATCATCAGACGCAGCGTCGTGCAGACCGTCTTCTGTGTGTGGACGTTGCGTGGTGTGCTCGTGAAGGCTGCCCTGCCCAGTCACGGTCCTTCCTCGTCACCAGCCCCTTGGAGCGGAACAAGCATTTGACCCATTGGGTGTGTAAAGCTGTTTCTAAAAGGTCACACTTGCAGAGGATAGGTGAATTAGAATCTGCTTTCCAATACTTTTGTATGGTAACTGTCTAAGGCATGTAAAATTTGCTGCTTTTAGCTGGCTCTAAGATCTTTGTTCTGTCTCCTTTCAGTCAGGAGCCTTTCAGACCATGGTGCTCAGGCCACTCGTTTGGAAGAATCTTCGCAGATGATTCTGCAATGGGCAGCTAGTTTGAGCATCTTTTAGAAATTCTGTAACAAATGCAAACATTTAACAAACAGGAAGTTAGTCTTGCTCTTAAGGCAGTCCTTTTGGACATGTATGACTGAAAGGGTGTACGTTTAATAGCAAAATTTCATCTATTCAACCAGTAGTTTATTATTTGATTTTTGTTGCATTAAGCAAGAAAAATGACTGATAGTAGTAAGGAGTTAGATGTGGCTCGCATGTTAATGCCTCTTATATGGAAATAAACAAGTAGAGATTAAACCCTATAATTTAGGAAATTATCCACTAACCTCCTTTCTTTCCTTTCAATGCCCATGCTTGGGAGTTTTACCAGAAAGAGTTACGTTCAAATAAATCAGTTTTGTTCCTTAAATAGTTGTGGAGGTAGGCCTTTAAATAGTACACATATGATCATTACAAAGCAGGAATGATTAACAGTTGGCTGCTGATGTCAGTGCTTGTCCATCAGTGTAGAGTGCACCCGGGTTCTGTTGCCATCCTGCTCTTAGGCCTTGAATTGAGATACATATGTACTCTTCGGAATAAGCTTTTCAGTTGTGAGATATGCCCAGCTGGTGTTCTGATTTGAGATAGTACATTTAATGATGGTGCTTTCTGTTTAAAACTCCAGTTATCAAAGTGCTTGTACAGACGTCTTTTTATAGTAATTTATATAGCAGCTCTTACTCCATTTTACAAATAAAGAGCCAGAGATACAGAGACTTTATGACTCTGAAGTCAGTGAATTACTCTGAACTATTAGACTGACTTAGTGGTAAATCCAGGAATAGCCCATGCTCACTTATCTCACCTGTTTTATATTCTCCATCTACCTTTCCCCTCCCATGATATTAGTTACTCTAGTTCCTACTCACTAACTTGTCAGTGGGACTGTTCTGTCTCGTGTCCAGAAAACACAAATGTGTGAATTGTTGGTAGGTTGTTTTTATTTTAATGGAGCACAGTGTTTGGGGGGTAGAAGAGTTTCTTTAGAGGGTCGGAATTTAGGGATGCTGTACTCCTCAAAGAGTAATGTTGGTCATTTATATAAAATTGCTTCAGAATGTGGCTATTAAGGTCCACTAACTTCTGGTTCTAGTAATCATTGCTTAGCCATGAATGTTCAGTGGAAAAATAAGACAGGTAGCCAAGCAGATGAAACTTGAGTTGTTGGTAATTCGTTGGAGTTCCATATGACTGCAAGAGAATAACCACATTTTAAAGAAAAATGTTTACTACAAGTTATTTCTCATGTGAATTACAAGAAGTTAATGAACTCTTGATAAATGTTTTATTTTTGCTGATATTAGAACACAATTTTCTAATTACAGTTGCTTTCATGGGCAAGTTACTTTAACCATTTTCTGCCTTGGTTTTCTCATTTGTGAAATGGTGGCAGTGGTAATAACATTCCCTCGTGGGATTGTTGTGGTTCAGTACAAGTACGTGCATAGGGCATGCCTGGCACCCAGCAGGCTCTCTAGTGTCAGTCCTCGTGGCATTAGCTTGTAATTATAAGTCTCCATTTTTTCATCCCTTGTCACATCTCAGAGTATCTCTTGAATTCTGGTTAACTGCTTAAAATTGTGTTTTCTCTAATACTTGGTTTGGATTTGAGTATTTACTACTTCTTAAGTAATAAGTAGTATTAGTAAATACTAATTTACTAATTTAGTAAAGGATAGGGTTCTATTCAGTTGTAGCATAAAATCTTGCACAAGTTGTCAAATAGTGGAAAGTATAATTTTCTATGTTACTACTTTTTTAAACATTCATTCCTTCAGCATATTTCTGAAACACCTCTGTACTGAGCTCAGGACTGCTGAGTATTCACAGTACAGTGGTGAACAAAATGGACATGCAAGAGTTATGGGCTGGTGAGTAAGACGAGACACATTCTAGCAGTGCTGTGGTGGCTCTCAGACTGTTGTTTATGGGCAGTTCATTTCTAGAATGGTGTGTGATCTGTGTTAGTGAACTACAGTCAACTGCAAAAGGTGCTAAAAATGGAAAAGACCAATGTTAGCTGGTGTTAGGAATTTAGAGAATGTATAATATGTACATGAGATCAGGAGAGTCAGTTCCGTCGGTGGAGTAGCACTAACATGGGAAAGCTTGTTGCGTGGCGGAAAGAGATTGGGTTTAATCAGAAGAGCTGGTTTACACAAATGTTGATATAGGAAAGAGAATAGAGACATGAGTTTAAAAACACAAGGGTTAAATGCTGAGGAACGTGGTAATGTCTGTGAGACATGGAGTATCTTCTGCATTGCTCATTTTGCTCTTGAGGGCAGGGGTTGTGTCTGCCCTGTCCATCGTTCTGTCCTGTTGCCTAGTGCTGTGCCTGGCACTTAGTGAGCATTTTGGAAGTATTTGTTGGAGAGATGGGTGGATGAGAGAGACAAAGAAAGAAGCAGTCTATGCAGAAACAGAGGCCAAAAATGAACCGGAAGTTTAGATGTTAGGTAAGAAGGGAGATTGAAGAGTCAGTGCTTCTTGAGTATAATATTCTTGAAGGAGAGGGGAACCCTAATTTCTGCCCTATCACCAATATTTAAAAAAATAAAAAGAATTCCAGATAGATGGTCACTTAGGCCTCTGGTTTTGTGGGCATGATGTTTATTGATTGCCCTTGCTTCCTAGGTGTGAACAAAGTATATCCTTAAAGTATATCCTTTAACTACCTCAGCCTCTAATCTTAATTTCAACAGTAGTTTTGTTTTTCACTGCAAGCTTTAATCCCCCCAGCCAGAATGAATTTATTCTATCTTTTTAAGATTGTTAATCCGTACGCTGTTTCCTCGATGGCTCGTTGTGCTGCTTCCTGATCCTTTTCACATTTGGAGACAGCATCGGGTAATATCTGCTCCTCTCTGGGGTGGTGCAGGGACGCTGCACCCAGCTCGGGGCTCCTGCCTGGCATTGCCTGAGGGCTCCTGGGACCAGGACCCTTGTCCCTCCCTTTGGAAGCTCTGACCCCTGGGACCAGGACCCTTATTCCTCCCTTTTGAAGCTCTGACCTCTGCACAGTGGTGTCAAGGCTTGTGGTACCTGGGAAAAGACAAATAATTTGGCTAGATTTGCTGAAGGATTGTAGTGACAGAACTGGAGTTAGTTTGGGGAGCAGCTGTGCTCCCAGGACGTCAAATTTTCTTGAAACTCGGGGAGCCACCTAAGGTTTGTAAGCAGAAGAAAAATCAGGGTGGTTGTAGATTTAATAAAGTACACCGGTAAAGACCTCTCCCATCCCCAAAGGAAGCGAAGGTGTGAGCCATGCAGGTGTCTGGGAGAGTGCTCTGGACAAGGGGAGTGGGAAGAGCAGATGGGCCTGGTGTGTCTGGAGCAGCACGGAGGCTGCTGTAACTGGAGAGGAGCAAGGTCAGAGAAGTGGCCGCACCACGCACCTCTCTGACACACCTATCAGAAGACCTTTGTTCTTCTGAGGAACTTTCCTTTTCTACATCCTTTACTTATATGAGGGTTTGAGCTTTATTTTAGACTTTTATCCATCTGTATTCTATTCACATTTGTAAATCTGTGAATTGTGTTGGCTCATCTAGAACAGAGATGATAATTGGATCTCCAGTTATTCATCTGTTAGACTGTTGGTAAGGCACTGAAATCTCCACGAAGGCAGGGACCCTGTCTTTCATTCCTGTTTCTAGAGAGTCTTGTACTTGATAGGAACTTAAGAATCTGATGGTGAATTAAGTTGAGTGATGAATGCATCAATTTTTGTTATTTTTGCACCTGATTTCATCCCAAAAGTACATGTAAATAGATAGATTCAGCCTTTTTAGCATAAATTCTTTTACATAGATGTGTTTTAACTCTGAATTAATAAGTAAAATTGCGTTTGATTGGGATTTAGATACAAATATGTATATCAAATTTTTTCTTAGGTACCAACAGCCAAGGTTTCAGAGCTAAACCCTAATGCAGAAGTATGGGGGACTCATATGTCACGTTTGGAAGGCAGTAGTACAGCGGATGGCGGTGTGAGTGCAGCGTGGGAGGAGACGCCCGGCCAGCGCACAGACTGTGGCCAGGAGGGTGAGTTGTGAGCTGAGGGCGATGAGGAGTGGCTTTGCTCTCAAGGCTTTGTCTTTGTTTCCTTTTAATCCATATTTAAGGAATTGTTAATTAAAATTTGTGTTATGGTTTGTGATAGTATTTAAGAGCAAGGAGATCTTTCAGAATCAGGTTAAAAATGAGAGTAACTGCAAGTATAAGCTTTTGTTTTGTTATAACAGAAAGTTATTCTTCTCACCCTGCCTTTTGTGGTAAAATTCCTAATTATAGGATTGGATGCCAACGGTGATGGCGACAAAAGTCATGAGAATGCAGCACTATCAGATTTACAGGAGTCGGACCAAACAGCTATGAACACTTTGGCTCTGGATCACTCAGAATATGAATCTCCACCTGAAAATAGCGAAACGGGTAAAGCTATTTTATGAATTCATTTTCGTATAGTATATGGGCTTTTTAAACTTAGCTTGTTAAATCTTTCCCTAAACAATGTGCCTTTCATTGCTTCCTTTGAGTCTACTTTAAGCTCACTCTTATGTGGATACAGAGATGAGGAGTTCTGGTCGGGGAAGGCGTCATGGAGAGTGTAAGACCTGAGTGGTTCCCAAAAGGCAAATCAGATTTAGTTAGGAAAAGCAGAAGATGGACTGTAGGGGAAAGTGTCGTAAAAGTACAGAGAGGGAACGTTAATGTTGAATTTGAGAGGCAAACCCAAAAAGAGTTGGTTCTTTGTAAAAGGGCTATTTACAGCTATTCTCAGAAGAAGGCAAAGAACAAGGAGAACAGAACAGTTCTCTTTTGGGGGCCAGGATGTGGGCCGACGTAGAAATGCCTATAGGTAACGGGCCACGGATTGCTCGCCTCTGATTTTGTTTCTGTCTTAATCTAAAAGATCAGGCAATTTTTAAAACTCCAACAGACGTAAGGGGTAGGCTGCACTCATTAACAGTTGGATGGGGCAACTTGAGTGGAAGAAATAACTCCCCTAAATTGGCAAATAGGAATTGAATGTGGAGTGTGTCCTGTCTCCCAGATGTTTCTCTGAAGATAGACTGGAGTTAAAGAAGGTACATGGATGAGAAAGTATGCCCTCCCTTTCTGTTGTTACAGTCTTACTACCAAACTTTATATTACATATGAAAGGTACATAATAAGCACCATGGAAGTGTTTGGCATTAAATGTTTGTTTGTTTTTCCCCTTAAAGGGTGACCTCCATGAAGGCTTTGTCTTCACTCTTGCTAATTTGGCTAGCACTTGTTGAATGCCTCCACTAACTTCTGTAATCGCCATGACCCACCTTGTGCCCTCATTTCCCTCCTCATTCTGCTTGGATTACCCAGACCATCATTTCACTTACTTCCTTGCATCCAGTGTCCTTCATAGTTGCTAAGCAAATGCCTCAAACTTCTTTAAATATAATTCTCTACCTTCTATGTGCCTATTCCTGAGCATATAGATAAATGTGGCTGAACAACAATGTATAGCAGTGTGGAATGGTCTCATTTTAAGTTCGTGATCTCAGACTTCCAGAGGGCCCACACCATTGCCCCACAGTGCTGCTATGAGGCCCAGTGAAGTCACTCTCCTGGACAACTACTTTACATCTCCTGTTCTCGCCTCAGACCCGAGCACTCTCCTCTTTGTTATTTTTGGGTAGAGAGAGATAGAGCGTTAGTGAAGCATAATTGATGTACAATAAACATCACATATTTAAAGCCTATCCTATAGCTTTTCTGTAAGTTTTATTTTCTCTAGCTTAAAGGACACTATTCAGTTCATTATAGAATTGATTTGCTGACTCTTTCATTCCCCATTGATTTCTCTTATAAGATGTGTATACACCTGTAAAACCATGATCACAATCAAGATAATGAACATATCCGTTACGACGAAAAGCTTCCTGTGCCCTCCCTCCTGCCCTTCCCTACCCCAGGCAACCACTGATCCGCTTTCTGTCACTATGGGTTTGGTTGCATTTTCTAGAATTTTATGTAAATGGAGTTTTACAGTATATGCTCTTTTTGTCAGGCTTCTTTTATTGGCTTACTAATTTTGACATTCATTCATGTTGTAACATTCATAGGCCGTTGCTTTTTATTGCTGAGCAGTATTCCCTTCTAGTATATACCATAGTTTGTTTTTTCATTCACCTGTTGGTGAATATTTGGATTGTTTCCAGTTTGGGGTTATTACAAATAAAGCTACTATGAATATTTATTAGCAAGACTTTTTCTGGACGTATATTTTCATTTCTCTTGGGTAAATACGTAGGAATGGAGTAGATTGGGTCGTCTGGTAGGCATGTGTTTATCTTCGTACGAGACCGTGAATCTGGGTTCCACAGTGGTGCCTTGTTTTCCCATCAGCAGTGGATCAAAGCTCCAGCTGCTCCACACCCTCACCAGCACTTGATATGGTCAGTCTTTAATTTTAGCCATTCTGAAAGAGAGGTAGCGGAATCTTATTGTTGTTTTAATTTGTATTTCCCTCGTGACTGATGCTGTCAAGCAACCTTTCATATGCATATATTTTTGATGAAGGGTCTGTTCAAGTCTTTTGCCCATTTTCTTATTGGGTTGTTTTATTATTGAGTTTTGAGAGTTCTTTATATGTTTTGGACACAAGTCTTCATCAGATATGTAATTTGCAAATATACTCTCCCAGTCTATTGCTTGTCTTTTTGTTATCCTAACAGAAATTTAAAAGTTGAAAAGCAGAAGTTTAAAATTTTTTATATAGTCCAATTTATCAGTTTTTTTCCTTTTATGGATCTTGTTTTTGGTGTTGTACCTAAGAACTCTTTGCTTAATCCAGAGTCACAAAGATTTTCTCCTAGAAGTTGTATAGTTTTAAGTTTTACATTTTTTAGGTCTGTGTTCCTTTTTAAGTTAATTTTTGTATATGATGTGAGGTATGGAGCAAAGTTCTTTTTTTTTTTTTATGTGGGGAGATGCATCTGTTCCAGCACCATTTGTTGAAAAGCCTCTCCTTTTTCCACTGCATTGCCTTTGTGCCTTTTTCAGAATCATTTGTCCCTACATGTGTGGGTTTATTTCTGGACTCTCTCTTCTGTTCCATCAATCTGTTAGTCTGTTTTGACAATAGTACCACGTTGTTTTGATTACTGTAAATAATTCTTAAAAACAGGTAGTGTTAGTCTTGCAGTTTTGTTCTTTTTCAGAGTTATTTTGGCTATTCTGGTTCCTTTCCATTTCTATACAAATTAAAATGAGCTGGTCAATGTCTACAAAATGCTAAGATTTTTATTGGAATTGTACTGAATCTGTAGATCAGTTGGAGAAAATTGACATCTTAGTGAAGTACTCATGAGCAGGGTATATGTCTCCACTTGTTTAGGTCGTCTTTAATTTCTCTTGGCTGTATTTTTTAGTTTTCAGTATACTGGTCTTTCACATCTTTTGTCCAGCTTATCGTTAAGTATTTCATATTTTTTGGTGCTATTGTAGGTGATTTTTAAAGATTTAATTTTTGCATTTGTTTGTTATTAGTAGATAGAATATAATTAATTTTTTGTGTGTGTGTGAGGAAGATCGGCCCTCAGCTAACACCTGCCAATCCTCCTCTTTTTGCTGAGGAAGACCGGGCCTGGGCTAACATCCGTGCCCATCTTCCTCTACTTTATATGGGACGCTGCCACAGCATGACTTGCCAAGCAGTGCGTTGGTGCGTGCCCAGGATCCGAACCGGCGAACCCTGGGCTGCGGCAGCGGAGCGCGCGCACTTAACCGCTTGCGCCACCGGGCTGGCCCTGAAATATAATTAATTTTTATAAATTGATATCATACTGTGAAAACTTGTTAATAAGCTTACTTATTAGTTTAGGAACTTTTTTATAGATTTCATGTTATCTGTGAATAAATTCAGTTTTATTTCCTATCCAATCTGGTGCCTTTTATTTCTTTATCTTGTGTGTTTGCACTGGATAGATCTTGCACTGCAGAGATAAACAAATGTGGTGAGAGTGAAAATCTGGCTGACCTTAGAGGGAAAACGTTCAGTCTTTCACCGTTAAGTATAATGTTAGTTGTAGTTTTACATATGAGACCTTTATCAGGTTGATGAGGTACCTTTCTGTTATGATTTGCTGAGCGTTTTTATAAGGAATGGTTGTTGGAATTTCTTATATTTTTTTTCCATCTATGGCAACAATCATATATTTTTTCTTTTTTAGTGTGTTAAGATGAATTATGTTGATTGATTTTTCAAATGTTAAACAACTTACATTCCTGGGATAAGCCTCACTGGGTCATGATGTAATACCCTTTTGATATATTGTTGGATTAGATTGGCTAAAATTTTGCTTAGAATTTCTACACCTACGTTCATGAGGCATATTGGTCTGTAGTTTTCTTTTGCCTAGAGTTGCTCATAATAAATACTCTATTTATCCTTTTAACATCTGTAGACTCTGTAGTCATGTCTCATCGCTTATTCTTGTTATTGTCAATTTGTGTGTTCTCTTTTTTTCCACCCTAGTCAATCTGGGTAGAGCTTTGCCAATTTTATTGATCTTTGCAAAGAACAAGTATTTGGTTTCATTGATTTTTCTTGTTTTTCTTCTTCTTGTGTCATTAGTTTTCTTCTGATCTTTATCACATACTTTCTTCTGGTTACTTTGGGTTTAATTTGTTGTTTTTCTAATGTCTTAAGATGGAAGCTGAGCTCATTGAGGCATTTTTTCTTTTCTAAAATGGCCATTTAGTTCTATAAATTTCCTCCTAAGTATGCTTTAGCACAGTCTCACAAATTCCGATATGTTGTATGTTTTGGTTTTTTTAAATTCAGTTCAAAATCCTAAATTCCTTTTTTTTTCTCTTTGATTCATGGGTAATTTAGAAGTATGTTATTTAGTTTCCAAATATATGGCGATTTTCCAGGGAACTTTTTAAAAATTGGTTTCTAATTTAATCTCATTGTGGTCAACAGAAGTACTTTGTATGACTTGAATCCTTCAAATTTATTAAGACTTGTACTATGGCCCAGAATATGGGCCATCTTAGTAAATGTTCCCTTTGCACTTCGGAATGTGTATTTTGCTGTTGTTATGGGAGTTCTGTAAGTATCAGTCATGTCTAGTTGGGTGACACTGTTGTTCAAGTCTACTATATTCTTTCTGGTTTTGGCCTACTTGTTCTATCGATTAAGAGAGGTGTTCTATTCTGGATTTGTCTATTTCTCCTGTTAGTTCTCTCAGTTTTTGCTTCATGTGTATTGGAACTCTGTTTTAGGATTGTTATGGCTCTTGATATATTGACTCCTCTTTCATTATAAAATGACCTTTTTCAGCCCTGGTAATTTTCTTTGCTCTGAATTTACTTTGTCTAATATTAATATAGTCACCTCAGCTTTCTTTTGACCAGTTTTAACATGGTATATGTTCTTCCATCCT